TAGCAGCATTGCACAGAACTCAGTCAACAAATGCAAGAGTTAAGAACAGAATAAAACTTTAAGAACAAATTCAGAGGATCTGGGAGGTCAGTCTATGATCAAAACAATTACAATGTGAAAGAAAGTAAACACAGAGGAACAGAAATCCAGGTGGTGAGAAGGTCAGGTAGATTACAGGATAAAATAGACTGTCTTAAATGGAGGGAAAAGTTCATGAAATGTAAGGTAATCTCAATAGTGGGGTTGGAGTGGGGGGCTTAGGGAAAGGTGGAGGGAGGTGATGGTAGAGCACTGGGTAAGGGCAGACATACCATAGTTTGGGTGTTGGGGAGGGCAATACAAGAAGGGGGAGGAGGTGGAAGAACAAGATAGAAAGGGGAACACTGAGACAGGTTTGCATGGGCTAAGTGCGACAGAGGTAAATAGTGATGCATGCTCAACCTTGGAACAATAGGGATCTGTGATGCTGGGATCTAGGCATAGTTTGAAGAGGGGAAATAATACTAAGATGCTTGACTGTCTTATGAATATTGGTTTCCCTTGTCTGCTATTGTAAAATAGACACCAAGTGGGCTAGAAAGGAATTTCGGGAAACATGATTACAGAAAACTTGTATACCTGTTTTCAGCCTATAACTGATTGGAATACCTAACAGGGATTCTAGAACTTTTCCAGTGAAATAGGCCTCTTGCAGAGCCTTTGCAGAGCATAGGACCTTAGGTGGAATCCTGAGTCCCATCCAGAATCTTCTGAGGTGGGATATTCCCACTAGAAAGGAAAAGCAGACCAGCCTGGAACAGCAATAGTGACAGAAAATACAACTTCAAAGAAAGATCTTCATGAAAAACCCAAAACAAAAATGTCAGTATGACTGGCTACTACAAAAATAAGCAAGCTGTTCACTGGGAAGCCATCAAGGCAAGCAATCAAGTCCCTACAGGACAAAACCTCCTCTAACACTGAAACTCAAAGTGAACACATGAGCAGACATGTAAGCTTGCTGGCAATCACATTGGTCTATTGGTGAGTGCAAAAAGTAGAAAGGCAGCAATGAAGAAACGCTCTACAGACTCCTGTTGACCTGGAGATGAGAGAGAGAAGAGGAAGAGCTGGTTAATCTGAAGTATGGTGAGAACTGGGGACACCTGAGCCCATGGACAAGGACATAGCCACAGAGGGCTACAGCTGAGAGTGAAGCATCCAGCTGATGTGAAGTGAGGGGAGATGCACAAGAACACCCAAACTTGCAGACAGTACCCATTTTACCTACCCTCAATGTCTTGATAATCAGAACTCGATGAGGGGAAGATTAAAACAAACAAACAAACAAATTTTGATAAAGGAAACAAGGGTAAATTACTACAATTTGATGAACTTGTCCTATACTCATGGAGGTAGGAACTCTAAATACCAATAGAGAGGGAAGGAGTCTTCACATCAAGTATCATTGCTATCCTCTGTACACAGGGTAGATAGGGATGGGCAACTTAAGACATTGGCTACCTAAAATGAGGGGTGCTAAAGGCACGAAGTGACTGGCTTACAAGGCTTCAAGGGGGAGGTTAGTTTAATAGTATGTGTGGAAAGAAAGAGTCCCCTCTGAATAGTGTTCATCTTGTCTAGATGGGTCTGGTTAAAAGAGATGAGGATAAGATTCTTATGATTCAATAGTGAGTTTGTTGTTGTTGTTGTTATCATGATTAATTGTGACGGTCACAATTGTAAAAAGTTTTGTAACAAAAACAGGGGAGCAGTTAATCTTACAGTCGAGAAACAGAGGACCGTAGGACCATCAAGGGAGAAGAGCACAAGTGGAATGTGAAACCTTATCCAGAGAAGCAGCAGCACTAGAGATAGAAGCAGAGTTGGGGACATGGAGAGAGGGAGCAGCTGAGGACTCTAGATTCATGAGAAGAGAGGGACTGAGAGCTGGTGGCCAGGAGGGAGGTTTGCAGAATGTGCCCTTTGGTGGTATAAATTAATATATATGCCTGCGTGGTATTGTTTTTTTAAAAAAAGCTAAAGTGAATAGAGAGAAACACTGCTAACTGATGGTACAGGGAGGGGATTATAATAATTGTAATGAAAAAAGGTGTATGATTTGTTGAATGTAAAACTGATGATTTGCCCTGTAAACTTTTACTCAATCCACAATAAAAACCTTATATAATTTTTTTTTTTTTTAAAGACAGGGAAAGAAGAGCTGAACAGATAATTTCAAGGGCAGCTTGAAAAGAGAAAGTAAAGTATTTTAATGAAATGTGTAAATACCCAGACTTAGAAAACCAAAAAGGAAGAACATGCTCAACATTTCTCAAACTTGAAGAACTGTAGAAAAAATTCAAGCCTTGGGATGCAATATTGAAGAATTTTAGGGGAAAATGTTAAATGAGGAAGTATCAAAATAAGATGTTAAGGAATACAGAGAATCAATGTACCAAAAAGAATTGGTTGATGTTCAATAATTTCCAGAGATACCATGTGATAAAGAACTGATAGTACTGAAGAAACAACTCCAAGTTGCACTGAAATCATTGGTGAAAAGTAAAGGCTCCAGGAATTGATGAAATCCCAATTGAAATATTTCAACAAACTTATTCCAAGAAATTTTGGAAACAGCTACCTTTCAACTTATTGGAAGAGATCCATATTTGTGCCCCATTCCAAAGAAAAATGATCCAAGCTATGGTATGGTCTAAGCCTCATGTGCATGTGCACACTAGACAATGAATAAGCAACATGGTAGAAGAATCCGTGTATTTGCATTTATGGTACTGGAGAAGAATACCTGAAAGTACTATGGACTGCCAGTAGAACAAACAAATCTGTGTTGAAGTAAGTGCAACGAGAATGCTCCTTAAAAGCAAGGGTAGCAAAACTTTGTCTCTCGTATGTTGGACATGTTATCAAGAGGGACCAGTCCCTGGAGAAGGACATCATGCTTGGAAAAGTGGAGGGTTGGCAACAAAGAGGAAGATCCCCAATGAGATAGACTGACACAGTGGCAGCAACAATAGGCTCAAATATAACAATTGTGAGGATGGTACTGGACTGGGCAGTGTTTCGTGCTGTTGTGCATAGGGTCACGATGAGTCGGAAGTGACTTGATGACATCTATTAACAAAAACAACATGCAAGCCTTACTCTGGGAGTGTGGTCCCTGACGCATAACAGTTGAGTACAGTACGGTTGGCATTCTGTCTTGGCTCAATTGCGACTCATAATGTTCCCATGGGTGTCAGAGTAAAAGTGTACTCTACAGGGGTTTTGATGACCAACTTTTCAGAAGTAGATCACCAGGCCTTTTTTCTGAGGCACCTATGGGAGGATTAGAGCCTCTAACCTTTCAGTTAGTAGCCAAGCGCAGTAACCATTTGCAGCACCCCCACGACTCTCAATGTAGTTGATTGAGAACAGTGAAAGCTGCGAGAACCCGAAGTCTATGGTCTCTCAAATTGTCTGCCTTTTTACCACTTTTCTATCGCTCTCTAGTACTGGAAAATAATTAAGTTTCCTTTCTCAGACAGGTTCCAGCTTTTGAAGCTTTCATGGTCATTGTTGACATGTGCATGGAGTTTTGAACTGAACAAAATCATTTTGTAGCTATTATTTTCATATGAGCCCATTGCCAACTTTATACAATATATTGAAGGGACAAGGAGATCATGGAGCTAAAATAGGATTTTTCTTTTAGACATGCCAAAAGACAAAGATTTATTATAAAACCAAAATGACCTCCTACTTTATTCCCATATTGTGCCTTAGTTCTCCAAACTAACAAAAAACAAGTCCATGCAAACCAAAATATGACCTTGAGAGTATCCTACCTGAATTTTGAGACCATCTCAAGAAAAGATTTGCTACATTACATATTAATGACTGAACACCAGAAGAGCTGTGGGATGACATTAAGAAGAGCAAATATAAAGAGCACAAAGTCATTAAAAAGATAGGAAAGGAAGAAAGACTAAATGGATGTCAGACGAGACAAGAATTCATGTGTTTTCTCACATAATCCTTACCAGCACCTCTGTTAATGTAAATGTATTCTAATTTTACAGGTGAGTAAACTGTACTTCTGTGGGACAAAGGCGACTGTCCACATCACACAGCTGGATTCAAACCAAAACCAAAACTCCAAGCCCTGTGCCCTCCCCCCAACATGCTGCTCCTTAGAACTTACTCGGTCAAACATCCGGTTCAGCAGTCTGGGAACCACAGGAAAGACAGTGGGTTGAAGCACTTTGAGGTCATCCATAAGCAGCCTGATGTCTCCTTGGAAAAATCCTATTTTAGCTCCATGACACAGCATTACACACTTCAGAGGTAAACAGAAACCATAAAACAATTTACAGCAGCACCAGTGGTAAAACACTGATCACACAAGCCACATAGGTTACACACAAATGATATACATTGCAAACTAGACTTCAGTGTTAGCATTTTAGAGCAATTCCCAGAAATCTTAAAATTAGTAAAAATTAGTTTTTTCCATTCTCAGTTTATTACACAACATGGAACTTTGGAGTCTCTCTTGATTGTTCTGAAGATGATGGGGTTAGAATGAGAAGAGAACATGTGGCTTCAGGTGATGCTGACAGATGGGCTACTATTTTGGCTTCATGATAAATATATTTTGGATGACTGATATGGTATTATATATTCTAGATATTTTCAAGCCTTCTAGAAATTTCATGTGTAATTTATTCTCAAAACAGGACTTAACTATTTGCTTACATTCCAAGTTTATTAAAGCCTCATTTTCTTTTACTTGAATCTAACTAAAAACTTCTGAAAAGCCATTGAAAAGGTTGAAGTTGAGATATTAGGACATCTAAACTTGCCATTTAACTATAATCTACTTTGTGGGTTTTTCTTGTTTAATGCCAACCAGACACAGGCAAGCCATGTGTACTGACAAATAAGTTTTCCCACTTTAAATGTTAAAAAGAGTCAAACAAAGATGCAACAGAAGTACAAATATCTGAGGTTTGAAAGCAGGAACCACTAGAAACTACAGTTAGATATGTGTATTGCTCAGTCCATTATCCACTCACTGGTAGTCACTTAATAAACTCACAAGCTCTCCTGAGCTGTGTGCAAAAAAGAAGTTAACAGATGGAACGTGGGACCTAGTAGTTCTTGGTCCTTTAAACCAAAACTAAACCTGTTGCCACTGAGTGGATTCTGACTTGTAGCAATCCTATCTAGGGTTACTGAGACTATGAACTTTTACAGTAGCAGACACCTTCATCTTTCTCCAGTGGAACCTAACCCACCACACCACCTTGGTCCTTTGTTGTTGTTTAGTGCTGTCGAGTAGGTTCTGACTCAAAGAAACTCTGTATAGAATTTCCAAGGAGTGGTGGGGCTGAACTGCTGATTAGCTTTTTCAACCATATTGTAAGTGCCTTTGGGAAACCAGAGCATGAATTTTTTTCTTCTTAATGTTTTATTGTGAATTATGTGATAGTTTACATGGGAGAACATTAGCTTTACATTCATCCTATCATATATCATTTCATTGCAATTGTTACAATCCCCTCCATGCATTATCAACCAACCCTGCAAGACTGCTACCCGATAGACAGCACACAGCCCCTCTCCCTCTACGGGTCTAGAGTCCCCAGTCTCTCCATCTCTCCACATCATCGTCTTTGCCTCCATCTCTGGTGTCACTGTTTCTCTGGGTAGTGTCCCGCACTTTGCTCTTCTCCCTTGAGGGTCCCAGGGACCTCTGCTCCTGGACTGCAAAGTCAATCACTCCCCTCCTTTTGCTATAAAACCTTTAGATTTCCAACCCTTACAGTCAGTCCTAATAACAATTATTCACTATTATCCTGCAAGAGACCTATCCCCATCTCCTTTCATCAGCCCTGCCCAGACAGATTGGATACTACTCAGCGGAGAGTCTACCTTCCTCTATGCCCTCTGGATCTAGGCTCCCTCTTGAAAGCTTGTAAACCAGTCACTTCTTGCCTTTGTAGCTCCCCCATTTTGGGTAGCCAATGTCCAAGTTGCCCATCCCTGTCTACTCTGTGTATCTAGGGGGTGAAAATGATCCTTGCTGTAAAGATTTGTTCCCTCTTTTGAGCTACTGCATCCATGGGTGTAGGTCAAGTGCATCAAATTGTACCAGATTACTCTTTTTTCCTCTTCTTTCTTCTAGTTGAGCTCTGATCATCCAGTCATTGAAGCCAGATCAACTGGGTACTACCTGCAAGTGTGGGTGTTCTTATGCATATGCCCTCTCTTCTTATCAGCTGGATGCTTCACTCTCCACTCTAGTCCTTTGTGGCTATGTCACTGACTCTGGGCCCAGGGCATGGATTTTTGAAGCCTCCTCATATATCTTTGGATATATGTCTATTCAGATCCACAGCTCATTTAAAAAATTGGGTTGTCTTTTTATTGTTGGGGTGTAGGAGTTCTTTATAGACTATATTGGCTTGTAGCATACTATACATTTTTTTCTTTGCATTTATAAGTCCTTTGTAATTAAATTTATAAATATTTTCTCTCATTTCATGGTCTGCCTTTTCACTATTCTATCCTTTGATTTTTATTTATTTTGTTGTTGTTGAGAATATATACAGAAAACTATATACCAACTCAACAGTTTCTTTTGTACAATTTAGTGACATAGATTACATTCTTCAAACTGTGCAAACATTCCCACCCCCCTTTTCAGATTTGTTCCTTCCTCATTAATACAAACTTATTTTCTCCTAAAGTTCCTATCTCACCTTTCATATCTTGTTACTGGCAAAATATTTCACAGCATTTTCATTTGCATTATAAACCCAGTATTTTTATTTATATAATCAAAAGCAGACACTTCTTACAGAACAGAAGCTTCACAAAGTTTTGAAGCTTCATTTAAAAAAAAAAAAATTAAGTTAATCTTTCTTGAATTCTATCCTTATCAGTATCCTCCAAGCACTCCAGCTTTGTATTTTTTTATATTTCATGTAAATGGAATCATACAATATGTGTTCTTACTTAACTTAGCATAATGTTTTCAAGATTCATCCATGTTGTAGCATGAATCAGTGTATCATTCCTTTTTAATGTCAAGTAACATTCCATTGTATGTTTACACATTTTCTTTGACACACTGGTCTACTCATTTCTCACTTGATAACCATTTGTGTTGTTCCATGTTTTTGGTGATTGTGAACAACAATGCTATGTGAACATTAGTGTACTAATTTCTGTGGACACGTGTTTTCATTCACCTTGGGTATATATCTAGGAGTAGAATTATTGGACAATTCTATATTTAATCATTTAAAAAGCTACCAGACTGTCTGCCAAAACAGAGGTATCATTTCACATTCTCATCAGCAATGTATGAAAATTCTAATTTCTCTACATCTTCTTCCATGCTTTTAATGACATGCCCTTTTTATTTTAGCCATCTTTAGGAATATGAAGTGATGTTGTTGTTGTTGTTGTCAGGTGCAATCGAGTCGGAACCGACTCATAGCGACCCCATGCACAGCAGAATGAAACAATGTCCGATTCTGGGCCAACCTCACAACCACTGCCACACTTGACGCCATCAATGATGCCACCTAGCTGATCCATCTCGTT